CAGTGCGTTTGCTTTCTCGAAGGCAGAATCTGAGAGGAAAAGCGAACCGATTATACGAGTCATCGCCGCCGTGAGGGGATGGACCGGTTTAAGGAGCAACGGCGGCCGAATTTCGACGGCGATGAATCTCCGCCACCTGATTTTGACGGCGGAGATGAAGATCGTGGTGTTGGGGAGGAAGATGGAGGGACTCCGGAGCCTTTCGCGGGAGGTAAAGTCAGGAGGAAAGCGTCTCGTTATAGAGAGCACCGTGGTGACTATCTTCACGTTTCCTCGCGTCCTGGATTGATGCGGATTCTCGAGAAACAAGGTTAGCTTGCTCCCCATTTTTGGTTTTGATTTTGATGAAATTTTCGAATTGGTCGACATTGTTCATTATCGGATCTAGATTTAGTGCTATTAGCATAATTGGTATTGACTTCTGTATAATTTCTGGTTCAGCATTTCACTTATCAATGATCAATCAGAGTATATCTTACTCTGTAGATGCAGTAATGCATGGAGCAGTGTAAAATTTCATCGAAAAGTTTGAGAGTTGTTTTAAAGTCAGCTGTACAATGGTAGCATCGTTTGTATTTTGTGTGATCTTTTGGATTGTTAGTTTCTGTTTGGCTTCTCATTGCTTTCAAGTTTAAACTATTAAAGACTAATGCTTTAATTGGGAGGTTAGTGAGGGATATCATCTCTACTTTATGTCATTTCATGTTTCTGCATCGGTTTTTATGATAGAGATGAAGTGGCAATGTTTCTTTGTATTGATGCTCGAAAAGTTGGTGTTAATTGTAGGTGATACGTCGATTCTTTTCGCTGATAAAGTTTTGAAGTTCACTGGCTCTGGGAAGATGAAAAGGCGTATTTTTATCCTCACAGACTTTGCTATCTATCTAATTGATCCCGAGACTGAAGCTATGACCCGGCGAATAGCCCTGGCAGCGGTAGAAAAGATGTGTTTGAGCAAATTGAGTGATAACTTCTTCGCTATCATTATTCCCACGGAATATGATCTATTCATGGCTAGCACTAGAAAGACTGAACTTGTTCAGGTCATGGTAGATGTGACTAAAAGTGCATCTGACTATGAACTTGAAGTGCTTCTCTCTAACAGGTAATTTTTTGTCCCTATATGTAAATATTTAGCCAGATTTTGGTTGTCTCCTCTTTGACTCTAACACTATGCACATGAGACTTGTTTATATTCATCTCTGTTCCTGATAAATTGGAACTACAGCTCATCTCTTGCTCGGAACTGATGTGGTCTTTGTAGTCTGAAACTTAGCTTGCTTTGTTTCTTACTTGAATTTGCTATTATGGGTGACACTAGATGATCGCCTTTAACTCATTAACCATTTTATGTTTTTGGAATAATATGAAGAGTAACACTTTTAGGAGATACTTACTGAAATTAGTACTTCAAAATACAAATAATTACAACGAAGGAATAACACGTTTAGCCAGAAGACCGATACCAAATGGTATTTTAAAATATTGTTCGATGACAGATTCTATTTTTGAGAAGAACTTCTTGAACTTTGGTAGTCTGGCATTCACAATCATGGTCACTAAAAAAAACATCTTGTGTATTTCGGTATTGTAAAACTCAGCTATTGGTTGTATGTGCAGTCTGTGTGTTTATGCTGATAATGGTTTCACCTGCTGTTCATTTCAGATTTGAGTACAATGCTTCTGCCTCATTAGTAAAGGAAGTTTCCTTTGAGGAAGCTGAAGGTTTGAGTGAATAAAATTATGAACACAATTTTGATCTATCTAAGTTTGAGCTTCTTTCTTGGCTCATAAGCACCACTACTCCTTTTCAGGGGGTATCAGGACCAGATTTATGTGGAAGTGAGTAAGTGACAACTTCTTAATTTTCCTCGCTGTTCATAAACTTTGGAGGGAGCAAGCCCGTTGCGAATGCGAAAGGATTTTTTCCTCTTGGCTACTAAAAGCTGAAATCAGGGCGGTATGTTGTTTATTATTATATTCTTTTTCATCTTGTTGTTTGTTATGCATTTGAAAGAACTATGTATCTTATCCATGAAGAGAGTGCAAACTACTACTATTTGTTCTACAAAATTTATGTATGAATCGAGTTCCTTCTCCGGTCTTGCTTGAAAGTGACTGATCAAAGGTTACCACACTAACCCCCTTTTTTGTTAAGCTAGGTAGCTTTATACCTTTTCATAGATTAAACTGAAATATTAAAACCCTTTTCTGAATGGTCAAATACATAAAGGAAAGATGAATAGTCTTTCTCACAGTATATACGGCGATCCTGATAGACTTCCAATTGGAGTTGAGCCTGTGGAAACCTCTGATCTGTATCCGCTGGCTAGCTTCTCCGGTCTTATCTCTTCCACCATTCTCACTACCTCAATCATGTTTGGTCTTTTTTCCGGCAATCTCGCCGTGCAAACCATACCAACCTGCAGCATCTCTACCATCTCTTCCTCTACCTGAGTGCACCTCAAAAGCTCCTCATCAAACACCTCTCCGGTCCATTCCTCCCTAACGACCGAGTTCACCCACCTCACCAGGTTAGCCACTTCTGATTTTCCTGTTAGCACCTCGAATATCAAGACCCCGAAACTATACACATCCGATGCTTGAGTCGCCTTTCTTGTGTCCGTTATCTCTGGTGCACGATAGCCGACTGCATGTCGGGGCAGCGAATGCATCAGAGTGGCCATTCCTGCCCCAGAGATGCAGCCATATCCTTTCGCATTGAGGAAAATATTTGAAGATTTAATGTTCCCATGGACTAGTTTGCCTCCGCTTTGTGAGTGGATATGAGCTAGTCCTCTTGCTGTTCCATACACCATATTCAGTCTAGTTTCCCATTCTAGGGGTTTCCGATTCGTGAGACATCTCTGACCTGAATAGTAGCAGGCATACGGATGCACACATAGACTTAGTTATGTACGATATATGCTAAGGATACTGTTGAGGGTAAGGAAAAGTCCTACCATAGACTAACTTAGTTACTTATGCATTACTAAATTCAATGGTCCCATTATCAACATACCGTGTAGTAATGTCGAAAGACTTCCATGTTCGTGGTAATCATAAACCACGAGCTTCTCATCCTTAGAGTAGAAATATCCTCTTAGAGTGGCAACATTCTCATGCTTGATGCTACCAATAATTTCGATTTGCTGCTCGAATTCCCGCTGAGGTACACTCACTTCCTTGATCCTTTTCACAACAATGGTGGCTGAGTCCTCGAGATCAACCTTGTAGGTTGTCCCGAACGGTCCCTTCCCTAAAACTTCCGCAGAAGCTCTCAACAGATCTTCAAGGTCGAAAACAAGATTCTTCCCTTCGAAAAACACAATCTTGTTACCTCCTTCACCCAAGTTTGGATCTGAATCCTTCCTCCTCTTGCTAGGTTTTTCCTTTGTAGATCTTCTTTGCTCTTCTCTCTTGTGGATGATTACCAATAGGATAGCGAGCAGAGCTAGTAGAGCAAAACACGCGCTCAATGTTATGCCAAGAATTGTATGGTTGTGGTGTTTCGTGTGTTTCCTTAATGATGAATGAATATGGGGCAGCTTCCCGGAAGAAACTTTGTTTCCGACAAATGCTGAGAGTGGAAACCTCTGCAATGACTGGGGTACGGTTCCTGTCAGATTGTTGTGAGCTAAGTCGAGCTGCTTCAGACCCGGAATATGGATATTAGGAACCTCACCTGAAAACTTGTTATTCGCAAGATTCAGTGAGTGTAATCGGGTTAGCTTCCCAATCGAAGACGGAATACTACCATCAAACCGATTATTAGAGAGATCAAGAACTCGTAGATGCTCCCAAGAAGAGAAATCAGAAGGCAAGGGACCAGAAAACTCGTTGAAGTCGAGTTTAAGCTCGGTTAAGTTCTTCAAAGCTTGTAAACTTGAAGGAAATGGTCCAGAGATGTTGTTAGAACTGAGAATGAGAAACCGAAGATTAGTTAACCTGGCTATCGTGCTCAACTCGATATGCCCGCGAAGACCCGTGGCTGCTAAATGAAGAGAGACGACATTGGAATGATCGGAGTTGCAGGTAACACCGGTCCAGTTGGTACATAAAGAAAGATTTGGTGACCAGTTGAGTGAATGAGAATGGTTGATGTTGCTAAGGAACTGAAGAAGAGTGTGTTTATCTTCTTTGGTTGTCTCTGCTTCTATGCAGCAGCAGATGTTGAAGATCACTCCGGTGAGTACTAAAACCCATTTCACTAGAAATTGGCTCTTCATTTTCCCGGAAAATATTTAGAGTGTTTTTTTGGGGTGGAGACTGGAGAAAAACTGGTTTAAGGGTAAAGTGACGTTGTAATGGGTGAAAGATGAAGAGGTGTGTATATAATAATTTTACAATTATTGACTTTTGTGGGCTAATGGATTAGATAATTAAGTTAAAATTATATTTAATCTGATTATAAACGAAAGTGGGTTGCTTTAGGTTAATGTTAGGTTCGGCGAGTTGTTGACTTGATATGCCTAACAACTCTGTTTCTGTTTTTGTTTTTTTTTGTTTGACGAGAAAATCGCGGTGAAAGCAACTCTAGATTTCAAATTTTTGTTACTTTTTTTTGGCTATTTTTTTCCCCACATTTTTCACTCTTTTCAAACAGTTGATTTTAGTGTGTAACGAAAGTCGTGTTTTTTAAAACAGTTGAAATTAGAGAAAAAGAAGTTCATGGTTCATGCTATTTGTCGAG